GTCGTACATTTTTGATAAAGACAACGTCCTCTCTAAATATTCTTTGGAGGAGGAACTCCTACAATAATGGGAGGGTGTACGAGGAAACATATTAATATGATCTCTAATTAGTTGTCTGTTTTCCTCTTTAATCTTTTTTTCCGTACTGCAGCCTCTTTGGTACTGACTGGGAGTACTAGTTGTCTGGGCTATTTGGGCCATCTGATTTGACTGGGCTATTTAAATTTGCTGCCTTAGATGTTTCAGGAATGCTGCTTTTACTTTGAACGTCTAGTTGATGCAAATTTCTCAAATGTTTAACAGGAAAGAACACATCTGCATCAGATGAAATATCAATATAAAAACTAAAAATATTTGAAATTAAAATATATTCTAAATTGTAACCTATAAATATTTCAGAAACAATACTCACTTTTTTCTTTTATTACGTCTATTACATGCTGTAGGTAATTCGTATTCTGACCCTGAGTCTTCGAAAGGTTCAGAAAAAGATTCTTCTAAACTGCTCATTATAAATTACTCTTTTTTTTTTAACAAAAAAGCAACATATAAACACGTAAACACGTTCACAAGACAGAAAATTATGCACTAACCTCAAAATGTTGTTTTCTAAAATATATGTGCAAAATTATTCTATGTCCCCCACGTGATGCAAACAGTCAAATTTTATTGGCTATGAGGACATAGAATAACTCGGTTCAAATATTAAAAAAATTGAAAGGACATAGGATATTAGCGACTCACCGTAATTACTGAACGACTCGGCATAGGTTTACTTGGAATAGATTGACCGATAGAGCTTCGGACATAGAATAGTCTGGCAAGAAAATCTGATTTAGGAAAAAAAGTGGACATAGAATAACCTGGTTCTAAGGCGACGATATGATTCGCTTCGTTATCCTCATCATCCTCTCCTGCGCAAGAGCAGTGTGCCCATAGATTGCATTAATCGGACAAATGGTGACAATTTTGAACAATTTTTGTAAAAATGGAATACATTTTACTGATAATGAATGTTTTTAATTTAAAAAAAACCTATAACTCCCTTATTATGCAACTTTTATTTAGGTGATTTTTGGTATATCGACTTCTTTTGACGAGTTCTACAAGCTGTTAAAATAAATGACTTAACTTTGAAAACACCCTGTATAATAAATTTTCATGTTTTGTATCTGAAAATAAGATTTATTTATAGTTACTCCTAACAGTTTGGAAATACAATGAAAAATTTACACCCCTTCAATTTATTAAACCTTCTGTTCCTTAACAAACTATCGATCTACGACGCCCTTTTATTATTTATCCAGAAAAGTAAATTAAAACTTTAGAATTAGGTTAGACTTCTCACCAATGTTACTTTACCTTACAAAAAATCCCTCAAACCGCAGTCTACCCATTCTTGTTCAGTCAGTCACCCTGACCGACCCCTGGGTGGGAAGAGTTTATTCCTAGTTCTATCCCGCATGCAATTTTTTAAAAACCCTGGTATTGTCGATTAGGTTAGCTGTAGGTTAGAATATTAATCAGTTTTTTATTATTATATTTTTATTATTCTTGAGAAAAACGAAAAAAAAAAAGATCTCTTAAAAGAGATAGACATCCATACACGCGCGCTTGAACAGAAGCCAATGTGCCCGTGTGTGCTTAACATATTTATTGAAATTTGTTCCCAGATCAGGTAAGAACTCCAACATACAGGGTTGGGCATAATTGGCGGAACACCCGATTTGTGGCTCAATTATGGATTGTATTGAAAATTAACCCAAATAAAGTTTTTTGTATATTTTATGTACTATTTAATGACGCTTGGGGATTTTCATTATCTGTCATATTTATCAAGATATGACGTCATCGGATGAAATTTTAAATGAATCACCCTATATTTATATTTTTTTTTCAGATAGATCTTTTCTTTCTGAATCCATTAATGTAAGGTTTGAGGGTCTCCGAGTTCATAACAAAATAAAAAGTAAACATTTATTTAATAAAAAATAATAATTATTATCAATCGAAGTATTACAAATCTCTCAAAGTAAGTGTTCGAAGTGAAAGCCTCCAACTGACAATATCCTAGTCTATCAACAAATGATCTTAAGGCATTTTGATAAACTTCAGGTGTTATTTCTTGAACAGCAATTCTTATTTTGTATTCCAATTCTTCCAGCGAATGTGGCAGGTCCTTATAAACTACTGATTTCAAATGGCCCCAAAGAAAAAAATCCAGTGGGGTTAAATCCGGTGACCGTGCCGGCCACTCAATGTGTCCTCTTCGACCCACCCATCTCTGTGGAAATATTGTGTTCAGGTACTGCCTCACTCTAGCATCGAAATGAGGTGGAGCACCATCTTGCTGGAACCAAATTTCATCAGAAAGTTGTAAGTGATTTCTGTGATTTGGATATAAACGAACTAACTCTGGAACTATTTGCTCTTGAAGTAGTTGCAAATAACGATCACCGTTCAGAGTTCCTCTCATGAAGAATGGTCCAATAATTCTTCCTCTAACTATACCAGCCCAAACATTTAACTTTTGTGGATATTGGGTGTGACCTTCTTCCATCCAGTGAGGATTATGATCAGACCAATACCGGCAATTATGTTTATTTACAAATCCATTGAGACAAAATGTTGATTCGTCGGAAAAAACAATGCTGTTCATCAACATATTATTTCCATTAATGGCATCCATCATTACCTGGCAGAATTGCATTCGCCTATCTGGGTCATCTTCATTCAATTCCTGGTGTAATTGCACTTTATAGGGATGAAATTTATTGACTTTCAGAATCCTCCTTACAGATCTCTCGCTCATATTATTGTCTAACGCAAGCTTTGGAACTGAAGTTTTTGGTTCTTCCTGTACACTTAGAACCACATTAAGTGCATTTTCTTCATCAGTGGCTGTCTTCTTCCGTCCAGATCTGGGATTATTTTTCACACTTTCTGTTTCATTAAACTTGCTCAAATTTCTGGATACTGTAGATTTAGAAATCGGGGAAATCCTGTCAGGAAATGTTTCATTGAACAAATTACAAGCTTCTTGCAGAGATCTCTTTCTGTCTCCAAACCCAATAATCATCAATAGTGTAATTCTTTCACGTTCACTCAGTTCAACCATGGTTTAAATTAATAAAAATTCTCAATAGTATCAAATGCTAAGAGTTATTTATTTTCGCGTATTGGGCTAGTTTGGGTGAAATGAATTGACTTGCAATTAAACTCAACTTGTTTGATTGTCTCCATAAACCAGAATGAATTAAAATCTACAGATTAATAAAAGGTGACAATAGTTTTTATAATATTATAAAAACCAAGTAAACAGTAACACAAAAACATTGGTAGGTATTTCTGTCAGAGATGTACAATAATCGTATTAATAAAACTCAGTGATTAATATCGAGATGTCAATATTACATTTTAATGTCAAAAAGTGAAACCATGGCAAAACAATTGATATTGGTACATTATGATGGCACAGACAACTTTGTGAATAGTTATTCATTAATTATTTAAAAGAACGTTTACCATTTTGTTTTATTATTTTCTGATGATAAGGAAAATCAGAGACCACCCGAACCCCATATTGATGGATTCAGAAAGAAAAGATCTATCTGAAAAAAAAATATAAATATAGGGTGATTCATTTAAAATTTCATCCGATGACGTCATATCTTGATAAATATGACAGATAATGAAAATCCCCAAGCGTCATTAAATAGTACATAAAATATACAAAAAACTTTATTTGGGTTAATTTTCAATACAATCCATAATTGAGCCACAAATCGGGTGTTCCGCCAATTATGCCCAACCCTGTATAATCCAGCCTTATTCAGTTTTTGGACACAATCTTTAATAATTTTTTTTGAGTCTTTGACAGTAATATTAGTATGTGTACAAAAATAGCCTAGATTTTGTTTCCATTTGTCATCAATTTCTCTTGCCATTAAAACCACTCCATTTTGTGCTGATACGTGGTCATTTCCATATCCTGTAAAATAACTTGGTATTAAATAATAAATAATTTTAACAAACAAAATATTTCATTTCAAATTTAGAAACTTCCAGTCTAAATTTTGCAAACCAATAATTTCATTTGTTCCAACATCATAGTATAAATGTCTTTTGAGTGAGACTTCATCCACAGCCAAAACGCATAAAATTTACGAAAAAATTCTGATTTTCATATTTTTTTTTTGTTTGCAACAAATGACAAGTCATCCATAGGAGTTTTTATTTTTTGTACTGTAGGTAGGAACTAGGCTGGAGTCCGGTTCGAACATTTTTGAACCAGTTCGATTATAGCGGCTATTTTACCAAAAAATAATTGGAAATCGCTATACCTTGCTCTCGGCTAGTTCAGCACACGACTACTTAGGCGATGGGTGCGGATTTTCACTATTAGTTAGTCGTTGAGTGGCAGACACTGTCCTGGGTGCCACTGTATCAATTAAAGAGAATAGGGGAATACAGAAACCTATGTAAAAGTATATCTGCTTAAGATAAACATAAACACAATGTTTGTACAGTCTCAGGCAGGTAAACATTTAAATAATGATGCAACAAGCTAATTACCTCATTACTTCCCCAAAAGTTATACACCCAGAGTTGTCGCTTGTAAAAGACGTCGCCAGCAGGAATGCGGGGTAATAGCAAATTTTGTTCATAGTCAAAACATTTCAACAGAGGGGTTATTTAAGGCTAATACTGACTTTTCTTTTAATGAAGTATAGAATACTTTAAATTTACGTATGTGTACCTCTTTCTCAACTCGCAAGGAGGCTTTATTTTCAATGTCCTGCTCTGCATTGATAATGTTTTGTAGACGGTCACATGTCTGACACGTATTAGACCTTGGTGAGCCAAAACATATATTAAAGTTGTGTAAAAAGTAACGATGATAATAATCGTAAGTTACCTGTGGTTTGCTTCCTTGCATTTCTGCAAAGACTTCGGGCTCATATTTTTCTAAAAATAATTTATGCATTTTAGTAACATACATTTAACTCTGCCGGCAAGTAGTATCGTCCATCGTTTTTTCCCCTGCTATAATCGGAAGATCGTCTGGGAAAACTTATATGATCGTCTATAGTTCTAACAACATTTTCGGGGATCTTCTTTGGCCTGTTTAAATGCCTTCCTCGCATGTCCGGTTGAGGCGTAATATTGGATTTTAGGGATTTAGCAATGTTTTCTACTCTAAATTTTGTTATACCGTGTATAGCCCACATTGCACTTTTGCAAACTGGATACTATTGTCCATTAACCCTAACCTAAAAAAAGGATAGCATAACAACTTATAATTGATGCTTAAGGTATATAAATGACTTACTTTATATTTGGAATAAATTTATTTTTCTTTTCCCGTTTCAGCCCTGCTGCAGTTCTACATCTGACAATTTCTCTTTATAAATCTCATGTGGGATACAGGATTTACCTGCACCCGTATCGACTTCTAATATAAAAGGTTTCCCATTTATTTGTAATTGGGCACATATTGGCTTCAACATAATTAACATTTACTGAGTTTAAATTAAAAATTTCAAGAGACTGTTGCTCTTCTATTTCAACATAAAAATTTCTTTCTGATTTTTTACATATGCCCTTTTTTATTGCATTTTTACGTATGAATTTTCTGTACTTATAATTTTTAAAGTCATGTTTACTTTTATTACAAAAACTACACCTTACTTCTTCTGTAGTTCCTGAATTTTGTACCTCCTTCTTCTTCTCCTCCTCTTGCTTAAAATACCCATTTCCCTTTTTCACCTTGTGAACATCGATGGTCCTGCTGGTTTCTAGCAAAGTAGCTTCCTTGCTTTGGCAATTTCTAATAAGTCTATCAATGTTTTGATAATACTCTCTTCACAAAGTCTATCTAATATAGCGCCTTGTTTCGTCTCCGTTACAAATTTGTCTTTTACACGACTATCTAGTTCCGTACCATATTCACAATCAGAAGCTAACTTCTTTACCTTAACAAACCACTCGTTTACTTTTTCGTTTGTTTGTTTCAGGTTCTCTAAATATAGATACCTTCGGCTTGAATTGACTACTCAACATTTCCAATAGCTCGTTGAACGTTTTTGTACTCGGTTTTTGAGGGTACCGTAATCTGGGGTGAGATCGGACATATTTTAAAGGTTTTTTCTTAATAACAAAAATTAATATAAGAATCTTAAACCTTCCTCTATCGAATATAGTATTTGTTTTTTGCATATTTCAAAAAATTCAATTTTTTTTTTATTATTGAAAGGTGTCCAAACTCACCCCTATGGGTGGTCTAAGTTCGGATCAACTTTAATTTATAGGAAAATCCAAACTTAATTTATAGTAAGAGTGTGTTCGGACAAATATAATTAAATATACATATATACAGATTTCATAAAAAAAATTTCTTAGGGGGGATAGGGGGTCCAAACACAATTTCGGTACGAACAATTTTATTTAAAGTAATAAAACTCAAATATTTTTCCAAAAAAACAAAAACATTTAAAAAAACGTAATAACTATGTTATTAACCAAGAACATAAACAATAAAACTAAAATAAGTTTCCAAAAAACAAAAACATTTAAAAAAACACGTAATAACTATGTTATTAACAGAGAACATTGCAATAAACTCATTATTCTATTTTGATGTTGTCGGGAAGGTGCTTAAAAAAGTGCCTTCCTCTTCTTATTTCTTTTAGAAGAATTTTTTTTAAAATATCTTTTTTAAACGCAAGTCCCTCATCAGAAATATCGGTAAATATAAAATAATTATTTTTTTTCGTCTTTTATTCTAAGATATTTTACTAAAAAAGCTCTTCCTTTATATCAACAATTTTATCTATAAGACCAACAAAATATCGATTTTTTTTTGGTCTTCACAAGGAACGGAAACTACAACGAAATCTCCCACTTCAATGAGATTTTGATTAACTTCTGGTTCTCTCATAAGAGCTGGTAGAAGGTTGCTCAAATACAGACATTTCATTTTCGTCTTCATAAACGTTTTCTTCCTCTTCTACGCAAATGTTTTCCACATCACTCTCCTCAAAATTTTCTTCTTGGGGAAGATCTTCTGTTCTCACACCTTTTCCAGGGACAACATTCAGCTTTTTACCCCTCCGGTTTTTCGCTTTTTTCCTCCCATCTACAGTCTTTTAAATATTCGGAAAAACTTTGGCTCCAGTGATCATTAGCATTATCCTTTTCTGCTGTCTTTCCGGGCAACTTTTCCAAAACTATTTCAGCGTTTAATGGAATAATTCCACAAGCTCTAAAACCAGATTTGATATTTTTGTCGATATTCGGGCCCAAAGATTCTAAAGTTTTTCTTTAAAAGACGAGGAAATTCTGATTTAGGCAGGGACACCTTTATTTTTCATTTTCCAATCAGTCAAGTTTGCACGCCAGTGTTTCTTCATGGGGCCAAAAAACGCAACATTCAGAGGTTGCAGCAAGTGGGTGGCATATGGGGGTAATAAAATGAAATGAATGTCGGTTTTTCTTCACATTGCTTAATCACAAACAATGACAAGTGACTGGAAAGATTGTCGCCAATTAACAACTTTCGCCCTTCTAACTTGCGGAAATATGGCAAAACCACTTGTAAAAACCAGTCTTCAAATATTGGTGTCTCAAACCACCCACTTTTCGATCTACTGTATACAGTGCCTTCTGGGCCCCCTTCTATCCAAGTTGGGTAAATATGAAGAGCTCGGTATACGACATACGGAGGCAGCAAAACACCTGAAGCACTAGCAGCCATCATAATTGACGTGCTCCTTTTAGAAGAATCAATAATTCTATTTATATGTTTGGATCCTTTTTTACCAACGACCTTTGATCTTCCAGGACCGTCAGTTAAATTGGATTCATCATAATTAATTATGTTCTCTGGAGGAATAGGTCCCATAACAGCCTGAAGGTTTTCAAAATATTCTTGAACTTTTTGCCTATCGACTTCTGCTCTACTCCTCTTGATATTTTGTGCAAGGCGCTCCGATAAAATTTTATGTCTAAACATAAATCCATAAAACCAATCTTCCCCGGGCATGTTGTCTTTAAATCCTGTAATTTTTGTTCCGGATCTGACCAAATATGATTTGACGATTAGGCGAATATCCAGCATAGTTAAGGGAAAGCCCCATTCGGCGGAAGTTAAAATTCCTTGTGCCAGTTCACTCTCTTGTTCTTGGCTTAATTTGGTTTGCCCGCCACTTTTTTTAGCGTGTCATTTTGTCATTTATTGTCGATTTTGGTATGTTGTAGAACTCTGCTGCCTCCCTCAGGGTCTTCCTTTTAGTCCTGACATCTTCAACAGCCTTATTTAAAGCCTCTTTGGCATAGTTGGATCTTTGTTTTACGCCAAGAGGACGCCTGTAATTTCTGGGCATGGTGTCCGAACTCGCCCCACGAAAAGCTATATTTTTTCTATAACAAGAAAAAAAAATTCGGGAATGAAAAAATAAATGATAATTATTCATGAATCATTAGAAAACATATAAACCTACATTATATGAAAAATTACGATTCAATTGCTTACAGATCCCTTCCCCCAGATGTTTGTTTCTAACGTTATAAAAAATATGCAAATTACGACCCATATCAAAATATCCCGTACTTACCACAAACTTTCTCTAGCGGCAATTTCTACCTAACTGGAGTGAAATGAGACAATATTGGACATGTAAACACATGCAAAAAGCTTCGCCAATGAAAAACGTGCTCGTGGTCACGTGATTTCCCACGCCGCGCACCATTGTCCGAACTCGTACTACCTGTCCGATCTCACCCCAGATTACGGTAACAAATATTTTTGTAAACGTCTTGGCTAACCGTTAACAAAACCGACACTTCTCTAGCCTCTTCCACTTTGCTAGCCAGTAAGTATTGCTCTAGTCTTTCACTAAAGATTTCAAAATCATCTACCATGTGGAAAAATTTTAATGAGGAAACATTCCCTGTGTTAACTATTACATTAGTTCCCATTTTTGGTTTCAGTTCAAAATATATATATATATATATAAAAATTGACCAAATAGTGCTAATTCAAAAGTAAACACGTTTTATTTTATAGGTTATGTTCCTGCCTTTCAACTTTTTTTTTTTTTTTTTTTTTTAATATCAAAACGTATTTTCCGATTACTGCTTCCTTATTTAACTCGTCGCCATAAATGAGGTGTCCAAATAATACTTTCCGATGTTACATCTTAATACACTACAGACAGTATAGTAGGTAAACATAAAAAACTTAAAACTAAAACAGTATTTCATACTGACTTAAAAATGAAACACCAAATTAAAAATGTACTGTTCAGATGGCTTCATTTTTGAAAGAATATAAAGTTTTACTATGTAAATTAAGATGAACTTTGGAGACCTCAAAGCTTGTACAATTTAGATTTATCGTCTGCAAAGAGCTTCGAAATAATGTTACAGCATTTGGGGTATCGTTACATAAACGGTTTCTTTTTTATTTTTTATGTCTGTCACCATAGAAAAAATTCTTTCAGCCTCCGCATTAGAATGAGGTAAAGACATAACTATTGTAGCGAAATTGCTTAAACTACTAAAAACTAAGGTATCATTAAAATCTTTTGTCTTACTTATTTCTTTCTAAAACTTTTCTATGTTATGTCAGAAAGCCCTTTTTTTATTTTCCGAATAATGAAACGGTAGATTCTGCCACTCAAAATCAAGTTTATTGACGTCAGTGATGCGCATTCTGGCCGCGCATATCAAATAATCTGGTTTAATGACAGTATGACAGTACAACGTTGCCAGATTTCTACTTTTATATTATTAATAATGAAGTAAAATAACAAATAAATAAATAAATATAAACAAAAATGCCTTTGGCTGAAAGTATTCCATTCTCCGCCATAATTCCTTTCAGTAGAATCGAAAGTTTTCTTTCTTTTAGTAGATAGGAGGACGTTCTTTATGATAAAAAAAAATTATGTAAAAAGATTAAAATGAATTATTGAATTTGAATTCAAAAATGAATAAATACTTTATTAAAAAGTTGAAATGATCGAATATGAATTAAAATGAATATAAACTAAAAAAATTGAAAAATTATTGACTATATGAATAAAAACTAAAAAATAGATAAACTTGTTTTAATAAAACGATGAAATGATTAAAAAAATATAATATTAAAAAATAAAAAATTGAATAAATTGTTTCAGAATATTATTGAATTATACTGGATATATTTCGGAAATACAAATCAAAAATTCCGCAAACAAATTGGAATTCCTAAATTTATTCCTTTATATGAATTCGTGAATATAGGATTCAAATAATTCGGGTAATGTTCCAAACTGTCGCAGAAGTTTTCGTTTTACTCGCATCCACATATTTTCAACATTTTGTATGTGGACATCTGGGTCATTTGGATCTACAAAGTTTTCATCGTGTATAATGACTTGATGTTCATACAATCCACCGTTTATCTGGTTTATATTATTGTACGCCCTCCAACCATCTGAAATAATGATTGTTCTAGGAAGAATGAACCTAAAGAAATATTTGAACATGATTTACATTATATATTTTATATAATAGTATGATCTTAAAAGGAATTCTGCAAAAGAAAGAAAATCGTGGAAAAATAGATTTTCCCTTTTTACACATGTATCTTAGGATAAAAACTTACTGCTTAATGATGGCAGAAAGAGTTTGGGCATTTCTGTTTGGTACTTCTAACATGAAGCACTGACCTGACTCTCTCAATCCCACCAAAAATTCCGTGACCTTCATGCCATTGTCCCCGGTGGTACTTCCGATGGAAGTATTTTGACTCGTCGATTTCTACAATCTTTGCCGTTCCATCTTCGTTTAGTCCACCTATGATTGTAGGATTACGATTAAGGTGTTCCTCACATATATTCCGGCAAAAATTGCACCAGTCCACTATGGTGCCCGATTTTTTGGGGATGTTTGCTATTTCAGCAATGTTTTTTGCGGGAGATCTTTGCTCCAGCAATAAATTAAAATAATAATTTGTTGTAGACTAAGTTTGCTACGTTCAAAAAACGAATTTTACGTGTTGACAAAATGGCAGCACAAATTTGGCATGTCTGTGCATAACCCAACTTTACTCCATTCACAGAAAGATAGAAATCTAAAAATTAAGAATTTACCTAAAATGGGACATCAAAAAATATACCTGACACACTTGACAAACCGTCGTATTTCTTAAAAGTCTTCTTTTTGCCAGCCACTTTATGGCATCTAAATTTTCCGGCACTCCTAGAGTCACTAGCTTAATTTGTTCGTCTCTAATTTGATTAGGAGTTAAAATGTCATCCAGTTCAACAATTGAAATTGGAGCTGGAACACCTCTTCCACCCATTTTATTGTTGAAAATAAAAAACAACCAACACAAAAACAAAATAAACTCAAAGTATAGTTTTAAATACAATAAAAACCACTTAAAACTTTATTAAAATTGTAATAACATGAGGCGGTAAAAATTATATTACCTACCTAGTAAATAGAAAATTACAACGTGGCAAGAGCCCGATAAATATAACGATGTTTACATATGCGCAGACAGCGTGCGCGTTAAGTACATACCTTTCCTACAACTTTACCCAGATCTATAATAAAATTCAATTATAAATAAATGTTTCCGCCAAAGAAAAATGATCAGAAAGCTAGGTTATTAGATTAGCTACATTTACCCGCGTAAAATATTTTAAATTTTCAAGGTCATAGACTTTTAGACCTATTGACATTTGTGTGCAATATCGTATGTTAACTATACTCTTTGGTCTGGCAGTGTTCCTTGAGCAAAGAGTTCTTGTTTTTCAATATCTTCAAATCTGTCTTGAATCTCGTTTTTTATTGACTGGCACAGTTCTTTTATGCAATTTATGTTTTATTCCGCCATGCACTTATTCAAATTCTCCATCATCGATTGAACATAAATGGGTATCTTTGATAACGAAACGTGTTTTTCGGAACATATGGACTCAGTAACAATATAAATTTTTTTAAAAATTTCTATACATTTGGTAATAACTTCCCACTCTTCAACTGACAAATTATTTAATTCAGGGTGTTCTATTGCCAACGTGGGAATTATTGCATTTTGAGTCGAAAAAAAAATCTGTTAAGCATTATGTTGAATTCCAACGGGTAATACAGTCTTGTTTTAGCTTCAGTACTGACAAGTTTAGTTGTTTTTGATTTTCCTCTAATTTAGATAGTGCATATGAACTTGAAAATTCTACAACGCCTTTAATTGCTTTAATTTCTTGCTGTTGCAGACCGTTACTTACTGCTAAATTTAAGGAATATACTGTGCATCTTACTTGCCTCCACCCTAAATTTCTTACAGCTTTTAACATATTACTAGCATTATCGGTGACTATGGCAGTTACATTGTTTTGTAAACTTCACTCACATAATACTTCTTTTAGCATCTTTGATATATTATCAGCTGTATGACGATTTTCGTAATGAATACAGTCCAAAAGAACGTTCGGTATTCTCATCAATAAAATGTGCTGTTATAGCATAAAAGTGATGCTGATTGTTTTGTGAAGTCTCTGTCAAACACACAGCAGTTGCAGGCTTAAACAAAGCTTGTATTTGTGTTTTGACTTCATTATAGCATATTGGCACTAAACTGGAGGATACTGTTTTTCTTGTTAGAATACTTTAAGTGGGGCACAGTAAATGAATTAATTTGCGAAACTCGACATCTTCAACAATGCTGAATGGGTGATATTCTTTGACAATCATCTTTAGTAACTATCAATTTGTTTTGATTTAATAATCGACAACGGTCTTTTGTCAGTTGTATGAAATGTTATTAAATTTGTTCTCGATGCTTGACTTACTGCTGGAGGCGCGGCCGATGGTTCTTGAGTTAATATTTCCAGTTGCACCTCTGCAGAAGTAGATGATAAACCTTCCACCTGAATTGCATTGCTTTCAGGACTTTCTCGGTAAACAGCTATATTGCAATGTTTTTTTTTTTAAATGGCGGACTAGATTGCCTGTTCAATTGTGTGGATTACACACCAAACTTAACCCTACAATGCATGATTTTTTTTAGTTTACTCTAAAATATTATTTTTGGTTAGGTATTAACCTTGTAAATGTGTAAAAAATAAAAAAAAAAAATCTATTGTTTTTTTATTTTGTATTTTTTAATGTATCGTATATGCTACATTATGCACTCATGGTATGAAAAAAGTTAAAAATAGTATATTTTTATTGATGAACAATAGCAAAACAATTTTTATTTTTATTTAAACATAGGTTAACTTTGCATTTTTGGCAAAAAAACAAAAGAAAATCCTTTGCAGGTCGAAAATTTACATCGCTGCCTTGTATTACCCCAGTTCAGAATGTGACCAAAGTTGTCAGTTCTTATGTCTTTTGGAGGAATTGTGTTGCAAAGACAATTAGCAATATCACCACGAAATTTTTCCATTGATATTGTGGTCAAGTTTCCTTTTTGTTTTTCAATTCTGCGATAGAGAAGCCACGAATTGATAATAGTAATGTCAACTAAATGGGAAATATTCTACAGTACCATTTTCTGCTCCTCATTGAGATCTTTTATCAACCTAAAATGCTATCTAATAGGTCGACTCCGCCCATATGTTTATTACAGTCCAAGATTGGGGTACTGTATTTTTACGCGATTTCTTGATATATGATCAAATCTTTTTTACTTTTTGAATAGGAATAGATCCTAAATATGTAGAAAGTAATGAAACGGGTTTATTGTCTTGCCACAAGACTGATTCAACAGGAGCATTATGAAATGAGGTAACATACTCTTCCCAAAAGAAAACGCCCCTGTTCTGTGACTTTTCGCAAATACATTTGTAGGACTCTGCAAAAAGAACATATATACGAAGTCTCAACGTTTAGGTTATCACAAACTTTATTAGGCGTGGGCCCGAGAGCTAATATTGTTACATTTTAAGCAAACTACATAACATTTAGGAAACTTATTAGCAGTGTGCAAGAACACTTGGTACCACTAACTACTGAATATTACTCATATGAAATGATGATATCTAATGCTGATATATTGATACAGGTGTTCTTACATTGCAGTATGAATGGAAAATTAAGGTATTTTCTTACTGGTTTTATTTCCTTTTAATTCATTTTCTACATTTTTAACAGCTTCTCTATCATCAGTTATACTAATTATTGAATCTATGGTATGTGGGCTTGATATATTATTTTTAATTAAAAAGGAAAGACTTTTTTTTTAATAATTAAATGCAAAGCCAAGGTTGCCAGGTCGAAAAATCAATAATCACTAGAAATATATCCAAAAAATCACTAGATCGAATGAAAAATCACTAGATTTTTTATATTTCTGTGCCTATATTAACGTAGTAATAGCATTGTATAAAGAACTAGTTCTTTATACAATGGTAATAGTAATATGGGATTACAATGATTGGATACTTTTTCAATTATCGGCTGAAAACTGTAAATAGTTGAAATGTGAATGAAGTCGGCCATCTAGTGAGTGTTTGGGATTATAACGCTACTCTCTAGATGGCGGGCTTGGATTTACTTGCAACCAAAGGTTGCGGGATTCCTCGTGAGTTTGAAGGCATAAAACATTCAAAAAATTGTTTTCTTAAATGAAAACAGGAGTTTTTTAAAATAAATATTAATTAATAAATATTAAGCTCATGTTTTTAATATATGTATGTTATTCTTCTGTTATTTCGATTTATTTGAAACCGAATTTTGTTTTATTTGGTTTTTTTTGTCACCTCATAATCTCAGTTATTATTTTATCAGATTGACATTTTTTTATTTAAAAGAAACCAGAATTATATTAATTTTTTTAATACACTAAATTTCACGATTGTTTTTATTCCTTATTTTTCGTTGTTACATTATCCAAAGCAGCGGATACATGATACATTTAACTCAAGTATCAATAAGTATCCATTCGATACCTACACTTGTTATTATCCAAGTTGCACATCACCAAAAATAATACTAAATTTGAAATTGTTTTTAATAGTTTTATTCCTATTAAACGAAAACAAACTTGAGACTTACAAAAAGTAACTATAAAACTGAATTTGAAGAAACCAGCGTAAAAATCCGGTAAACATAACAAAAATAAATATTTATAACTCACTTAAAATTTTACATAAAAACAAACGAAGTTTAATAGGAAAATCAAAACAGCTGTTATTCTCGGTATTGATTACTCTTTTACTGTGTACTGTAGCACCCAATCGATTCCGTAATTTGGTTTTGTTTAAATTTACATAAAAAAAATAGCCTTTCCACACTTGCGCTAATGTGTGGCAATGAAAGTAATATTGTAACAAATTTGGCAAGTTCTGGGTATATGAGACTGTCATCAAGTGGTTTTATGTGGATTGGTTATCCATCCATATGCTCCACATTTGGGCACAAGTCCGGATGAGGTTGTGGTTACAGACCAAAATGAAATTGGTTTACTTGAATTTAAATGTCCTTGTGGAATGAAAACAACCTCCTTGAAAGATGCCCTGAAAGTGAAAAACTTTTTTTTGAAATAAACAAATTATTGTTAATACCACCCACAATTATTATTATCAAATTCAGGGATAAATGCTCTTGACAGGAGTTAGGTGGTGTGACTTATGCACATACTTTAAAAATAAAAACGAAATTGTAATTTTTAGAGTAGAGTTCGATGAATTATTTTGTTACGAAATGTACGAAAAAATAACAAATTTATATTTATAATTTTAATCATTATATTATTTATTTCCTTATTGGTATCATAAAATTGGTTAATAATGCATAAACTGTGTATATCTGATTAATACAGCTTAATAATTATATCGGTATAGTATTTGATAGAATTTTAAATGTTTTTAATCTTCTAATGGCTCGTTCAACATGGATTCTCTCATGAGCTATTTTTCTTGTGTATTGAACATCTTCATAACGGAATTGCAGCCCATTCACTTTAAATATGGGAATGTTAAGTTCTATTCCCATAGCTTCCAAAATTTGCCTGATTTTAAACCCTTTGTCGGCAAGGATTTTGTCACCTCCGTTAATTTCATTGTTTGCTCTTTTTGCCCTTAGCAACTTCAAAAATCCACTGTCTTTCACTAATTGTTTATCCGATATCGATCCTGAAAATGCAACATTGAACTTGTCAGCTAATTTTAAGTATAATAAATTAACCCATGTTATAAATATTCTAGCTACTGCAGATTTTGAAATCAAAAACAAATGTGCTCAATGTTGGTATTCATAGTTTCTTCGTAATTTCATTAATGTTAAAAACATTTCATTTAGTGGTGTTATTTTATGTTCTCTTCTGAGTCTTGCACCTGTTTGATGCACAGCTCTCGTATCAGGCTCTTTTTCAGATTTAAAAACAAATCTAAATAGAATAGTAAGTACTTTATACGATTGAACACCACTATAAAAAAATATTTGTTTATCGTCGTTCATGAAATTTTCCACATAAAATTTACACTTAATAAAATAAAAATGTGTTCTTCTTATTTGGTTTGCAGGTCCATCTTTCCTGCTGGTGCTACAATATCAGCATTATTGCCATGGACATTTTCGTTATTCTCTTCATTAAATTCATGTCCGAGATTTTGAGACGGAACCTTTTAGGCTTCAGTTTGGTTACAGAAGCAAAATGAAATAAGTCATCTTCCGTAAAATGCCTTATACAAACCTTAAAAATAATCATTAATTTATGTTAATTTTATAATAGTTAAAACATACCCTCGTAGTTTTTTTTTATAATTTGATGATCTATTTTTAATACCTCAATCCAATTTTTACGAATATTGGTTTTGGGAATATCAAAACTTGGTACATCAAGGTTTTTTCTGGAACTGGGGCAATTCGACACACAACAACGCATAATTAATTTAAAACTAAATAAAATACGCAATGAAAAAATATAAAAAACAAAATTCAAAACCAAAAGTGTGGTTATGTCGCATGTCATGTCGCAACCGATCGATAATTTTTTAGGAACTTTAAAAGTTTTTACCAACTTCTTCTCGCTGTGTCATATTGTCAATTTCTAACTAGATTTTAATGGAGAGGGGTTCGTGCCAAATCTGACCGCGCATTGGTAACCGAGAAATTTTCAGTTACGGGAAAGGTGTATTGAAGATGATTTATAAGATGATACAGGAACTGAATCTATGGTTACTGCTGGAGAGATATTCCCTTGGCGGTCTTGGTGTTTATGATCCAAACGATTTTCTTCAGACAACTCTGAAATTGCTAAGGAGACAGAAATTGGAGAGTTAAAATGTAGCTTTTTAAATCGTTTGTCCAAAAGGGTAGCTTTTGCAAGATACACATTTTTCTCTAATTGGAGTAATCTATGCACAACACCATTAAGCAGACTCTCTTTAAGAGACCTACCTACATCAGTTGCGGGGCTTTGCAATTCTAATTCCTACTTAAGTAAATTTGATAGAGGAATTGCTTAACTTGAAGTTACATAGTTTTCCCTACTTAAAAGGACGAAGAAGCCGAATTAATTCCCTCAATATATTTACTTGAGACGTAGCCACCATGTCTGGTATATTTTTTTTTTACTATTCGTAGAAAAAATTTTTGCTACCACTCCAGATAACAGCTCAAATCTCTCTGTCATAACTAAGCAAGAATTCCACCTTGTGCTTACGGCTTGTATAAAAATCAAAACTTTACCTTACTTTTTGCCACTAGTGAGAGTGAGGATTTATTATGTCTAGAGAACATTTTTAAAACAAAAATTTGCAGAAACAATTTAGTCGTAGTTTATCCGGGTAAATTGGTAGTTCTCGGAAAGTAATTATATATATTTTAAAGGTTTTTGGTTAATTATTTTGAATAACTCATAAACTAGAGAACAACTTTATTCTAGAATAGCAGGTTACAAAATAAGAACGTGATATCAACGTACATTAGGTTTTTATAATAATGCGTTGGAAAAATACTAAGATATAAAAGATAAATGCTGGTAAAAATACGAGTTAGTAATATTAATAGATAAGTTATGATAAAAATAATATTCAACAAAATATCAGTCTTTATCTAACAATAATGCACTTCACAGATAAATGCCGGGAATCCCTGACACATCAGTATGCCGGTTCTTATCAAGTAGAATGAAAGGGAAAGCTACCAGTGGTGTAGGTATTCCTTAACTAAGTAAACTGCGATTATACTGTATTTTGTTTTAAATAATATCAGTGAAAATGATGCATATAAAAAATTATAAAATTTATTTAAAATTAAATTTATATTGAAATAAACAAATGATATAAAAAGAGTTACAGATAAACATAAAATATTACTGTTTTTTGGCATATCTATTGCATACAAACACTTTAATGGATTCCCATTTTCGTCCGTCAAAAAGAGTTGAATGCATCCGTACTAATTTAAGAACTTCACCCTTTTTTGGAGCTATTTTCTTTTTTATATGATTTTTGAAAAAGCTTTCTGTGGCCATTTTCTCTTCGTCACTCCATTTTTTTTTATTATTTTCTTTTTTTCCCTTAGCGCTTCCTATATTTTGTTTTGTCTCATTTCTTTGAACATATTCTTCCATGTTTACTTCTGAATTTAGATTTTCTTCGTTTTCTGAGTCACTATCACTGGCATTTTCATTTTGTAATATATCATCTTCTACTTCAATCTCACTTAGGCTCTTGCCTTTATATTTATCTATGGAGTTGTTCTGTGCAAGTAGTAGGATCTTAAGACACTTTTAAAATCTGCATGATGGGTCTTTGTTGCATAGCCCATAAAACTGGCTAATTGCTCCAAATCTTCAACACCCATTTTAAAAATTTGTGTTATAATGGCAAGATGTTTACGCAGTTAAGTAGAGATAAGTGTTGTTGTTGTTTTGCTAGAATCTCCTAAAGCTAACAGAAAATGTGTGCGGAACAAGAAAGGATTATCGGTTTCAAAAATAAAAGGTATATGCTGTATAACTGTATCTAGTCCTATTTAGTTAAGTTGTTTTGTCGAAAGGATAGGCACCCCTTCCACGTTTACCTCTTATTACAATTCGTTTAAGCTTTTTGATCAACATTTTTTCGGCCGGCGAAAGCACCTTTTCGAATTCTCCTGCTGGTTAGTTATCTTGATATTTCATATAAACATCCAATGGAATTATTTGCAATTCATCTACTCTTCGTTTATTAAACAAGAGAAGACGGCAATATGTTCCTTCAATCAACGTTTTATAATTTATTTCACTCGTATTATTTTCTTTTACCTTACGGTCTGCGTCTAAAATTAATGCAAACGATGGCGATTTGAAGGTTTTCTTTAAGTAATCGTATTCAGCTATTGTACGTGCTGCTTGTAGAATAGTTTTAAACTTTGACGGATGCAAAATACACAAAAAATTAAGAGAATTGTTATTTTCTGTTTTTTGAACTTTAATTAAAATGGGTGCTAATCGTCTCATTTAGCGCCAAAACTAAATGTTTATCTTTGTGATACTTAACATATTTTTTGTCACTTTACATATGATTAAATCTTGTTTTGCTACGAGTGATATATAATCAGCTTATACAGTTCGAAGTACATCTGATGTGCGAAGTGGATCATGGGGTCCAAAATGTGCCGCAAGCATCGTCAGTCCATCAGACTGGGGACGGCCACGATTAGCAATATTTTTGTCACGAAAATGACAACGTTTAACGTGTTTTCGAAGTGTTTTTCTAGCATAGTATCCACGACATTGTGTACAAGGCAAGTATTTTAATTCATCTTCTTTTTCAGTACAACCTTGTGAGATTTTCTCTTTTTTTTACTTTTTTTTGAACCGGAATCTTCTTCGCCTGGAGGTGGTTAGGCTTCAACAAAAATCGCCCAGTATGGATAAAAGAGTCGCAACAGTCAGGATCCATAATATGCAAAGAATTCCCGAACCACAGGTCAGAATGGACTACCTCTCGGTATTTAAAGATGGCGGACGCATCCCCGCGTTTTACACGCTTATCATGAAGCGTAATCCTTCTTACGAAGTTTCACTAACACTAAAATCAATAACTTTTACTCACAGAGCCAAACTCAAAGAATTGGGAAACCAAAATGAGGATTAAAATCTAAATCCTCCGAAATTTTTGGCTATACCCAAATGGCACTAATAGGTTTTAATTTTCTTGATCCTCTCAACTCGACAGGTGCAACGGAAGAGAGCGAACCACGAACCCCTTCAAACCGAAATTCCTCTTTCATTCCAAAAATGGCCTTTTAACGTAGAAACGTAGACCTATTCAGCCCACTGTACCTTGACAGGTGCGCGGTAAATAATACTAATTTAACATTACTGATTACACATTTACAATAACTCTTATAACAGTAATAATATGATATTCACATATTAGAATCTAATATTACCAAAACAAACCCCTAATCAATATAAAAAGTAATCCCAACCGACATTGGCAGCATGTGCTGATCGGACCAGAACAACTCGGACCAGAGTCGAGATTCTGTGCACTGTGGTATTCGTGGTGTTGAATTCAAGTGTGGTTTTCTACACCTTGACTCGATACTCTCTGGATATGGTAGTCTGTGAACGTGTCGAAACGACTTCGGATATTTTCGTAATATCGCGGTCCATTCTAAAAACATTTGGTTAAAATTTAGGGTTTTTTGTATTTTTCCCTTTCAGTTTGATCACGTTCTAACCTATATAAATAAAATAATTTATAGTTTTTGTTTTGGTTGGTTTGTAGTTGTATTATTTAATAAAAAATTCTAAATTTAATTTAAAATGTTGCCAATAAATCTTTTAAACATAGTAGCAGCTAACAACGAAGAACGTTTAGAGGAAATCAGATTATTTAACGAAGAGAGACGGTTTATGAGGGCGGAAGCGAACCCCTTTTCCATGATAGATCAGCATTTAAAGGTACTTTTTGATTGAATAAGGACATGGTACAGTATATTTTAGATCGAATTATACTAAATTTAAATCAAACTGAAAATCCAGTTGCAGTTCCTATATTTTTATGCCATTGGATCATATCAGCGACTAATTGGACAGAGTTACGAAGTGTCTATGTCCCAGCCTTTAGTATCAATGGCTAGTTTTGAGGTAACAGATAGCATTGTAAATAATCTTGCTGAAGAATGGATTAGGTTTCCGAGGAATGTAGCTGAGAAAAATGCAAATAAAGGAAGATTCATGGAAATGACTGGATTTCCTGGAGCCCTTGGTGTCATTGATTGCACCCATGTTGCAATATTAGCCCCCGAAGAAGAGGAGCACAATTATTTAAACAGAAAGGGGTACCATTCAAAAAAATGTTCAGCTGGTAAGTTATCTAAAACAATAGGAATACCTACTTTAAATTAAAATATATACAGGGTGAGTCATGAGGAACCTTACAGACTTCTACCATATGTAGAGTCCCTTAAGGGGTATATCATATGAGCATTAAAAAGTGGCAACTCCCCTTCGTTATTAATATACGGGGTGTTTTGTGAATTTTGACCAAACTTTATATGGCCGTAAAATCTACAAGGATTACTAGATTTCTTTAATTTTTTGGTAGAGCCTTACACTGGTGTCTATCATTTAATTCATATCCTCAAAAGTTAAAAATTCCAGGATTGGCTTAGGAAAAATTAATCTCGACGATGCATATCAAAAAGTTCGCCCTGTATAAGATTTTTTTAAATTATAATAAGATATTTTTAAAGTACATAGATAGGCAATCAAAACTGTGTATGTGACATTTTTGTCACATTTTCTTTAATTTTTTTTATTAAGTTTTGATTTTGGGCAAAACTGAAAAATCACCTTAAGGGGTCACATTATAATGTTATAACAAAGAGATTTCTCTATTTTTTTGGTGGATCTTTACACTGGTGTCTAGCATTTAATTCATATCCTCAAAATTTAAAAATTCCAGGATTGGCTTAGGAAAAATTAATCTCGACGATTCATATCAAAAAGTTCGCCCTGTATAAGATTTTTTTAAATTATAATAAGATATTTTTAAAGTACATAGATAGACAATCAAAACTGTGTATGTGACATTTTTGTCACCTTTTTTTTTATTAAGGTTCGATTTTGGGTAAAACTGAAAAATCACCTTAAGGGGTCACATAAATTATGTTATAACATAAAGAAAACATTGTTAAATGTATGCATTTGAACTAAACGAGCCAAACATAAGCCTTTAGTGAGCTTACTAGATCGTTAAATTCATTTTCGACAATTTCCAGATCCGGATTAGTTCATTTTTAAATTTTAAATAGAAATCGGCCTATTTTTGTAGACTATAGAAACTACTCAACTAAATTAAACATGTCGATAATCAATAAATAAATTGTAGCGAATAACAATAACGAACAATAAATTCACACTTATTAATTAATAATTATAAATGGTATTTATTAACCTCTAATAAAAACTGCAAATTTTATTCTTGCAACTAAGATATTATGTGGTTTTATTTTTATTATAAATACATAGTAGGTGTGTGCTTAAGGCACCATGTGGAAAGTGTTACTTTTTGGAAAGGTGAAATACAGGTACTCCCCCTATCCCCAGTACAAAAGGGGTAGACGGAGTCCCGCTCGTGTACACCCTTAAGCCTAAGCTTAAGGGGTATCATTAAATATTAACTTTTTTGGAAAAATTTCACTTATGACACTTTTGTCATCCAACGGTGAAGTTAAATGAGAAAATGGTGGAGATTTACGACATTTGACAACTGACATATGGTGGAAGACACGTAGTTCCAATGATGGTTGAGCTAATAATAATTGAATTTGACATTAGTTAAATTGAATATGTTAAATTAGTTTTGTGACAAATTTTATAATATAAATTTAAACAATTTGACTTTGGTGTCTTGACAGGATGTCCAAGACTTTGGAGAGGCCACAAATAAGCTCTGCTGGTGTTATGAAGTTAGAGTGACATTTGATTTTTTAAAAAAGGAGAATTTGATATTAGATTGAGGTTAAGGAAATTTATAATAATTATGAATTTTTTAAAAACAGGGGGCTATTATATTTTTATGTTTCGTATTTCAACCAGCATCAATATTTACAATGTGCAAAAGTTCCCTCGCCAATTCCGCTTAAAGAAATCATATAATTTTGCAATTTGCCATTTAAGCATTGCGCAACACTATTCTTAACTAATGAGCAATCTGATACAAAATCAAAAAAAAAATTTACTTTCTTACCACATTTCAACTTAAATTCACCCTCTTATAGAGTCTGCGCATTAATTAAATTCACACGTCTCTCATGTTTTTTTTTTTTTTAGTAGTTCAGAAGTGTTTTCTTTGTCTAGGCAATGTGTGGAGACATGGCCTGGTTTTCCACATGTAAAGCATGTCAATGACACTTTCTTCCTACTACCCTCTGTTCTTGACAAGGGTAGTTAAAAGATTTGTGTCCAACTTTACCACAAGACCTACACGTTCCTAGAAACACTTGTTAATGGCCTTTGTCAGGTGGGTTAAAAGCGCGACGCTTCGGGTAGATTTGATGATCTGACCGAAATAGCGCCGGCCTTTTACCCATGGTACCCGAGGTGCAATACAAACGCTTTTCAAGTCTTTTGGGACATTTAACTGTAGAAGTTTACCGGCCGATTTAGAGCGATTGGCAACCACGTAAAACGCAAACAATGTTGCCAGAAACTCATAATTAGGTAATCCCACTTCTGATGTCGGATATCAGACTTTTAGGGCGTCACCGTCAGACATTGTTATGACAAAACACTACATTTAACACTTGTAAAACTTGTTAATGCAATATAGAACAATAAACAATGTTGACAACACTTTAAACGACGTTACACAAATAATTATTAAAGAAGTACGGATAATACGATATCAATTATTATTCAATTAAATAAATGATACTAGCGATCCGGAGCCAGCTTATCACAGCCCGATCGATCACACTTCTCTGATCTCTGTTCTTATTCCTTCTTTTCTATCAACATCCTGCTGGCTCCGTTCCGCCCTCCTTGCACCTCACTATGAAAGGCAAGTGTGTATCATTTTATTGAAATATACCGACTACCAATAAATCAAACTTCTTAAAACTATAAACAAAATAATGGTTAAACATCAGCGCCGCCGACATATATAATTTTGTTGCCTACACTTTTTTAAGACTAAACAAAAATATTTTAGGATGAAGCTACATCCTATTTCCTTTTCAAATTTTGTAATTACCTATGTATTTATTTTCTTAATATTAAATGGCGTTTTAATTTGGTCACCATGACACACAATAGAAAAGTAATACAGAAAAGAAACAGGGCTACACCTGAAACTCTTAATGTAACATTATTAATAAGAAATTACTAAGTTTGATTCATTGCTCATTTCTACCATTTGAGGTACGCATTGTCCCAATTCCCTTACTTCATCTCCTTCCAAACATTTTCTTCCCATAAGACCAAGAAGTTTTTTCTGTAAGCCTGTCATCGGTGGAGTGTCACAACTACCTCCTCCTGTTAATGTTGATGAACATCTTAATTTAGATGCTTTAACTTTGACTTTGGATTTCCAATCTTTTAAGGCCTAAAAAATTAAATACAAATACCTACTCATAGTTTTTGTGTGGAAAGTAAATGAGATCAGAAAAGTAATGTCCCATGAAAATATCAATACTGAATTTAAGTAATATTCTTGGTTTAAAATTTAAAATGTAATTAGCAATAAGGAAATAATGGACAATTAAAAATGTGACGTAAGCAATTAAACAAAAAATAATGTTAGACAACCATAAGGATAATAGTAACTTTTCTACCTAGTAATACATACATTAAAATTATATTTTAATAAATACAAATTAGACAAAACAAAACATTTTTATATTTACTTACCCTCCTCCATTCCAAAATAGTTTTTTCCCCATATCCTAGCCCATTTAGTCTAGCAGCAATAGTTTTCCATAACTCATTTCCTTGGGCTTTACCTTGTGGCCCATTAAATTTACTGGTTATTAAAGCAGGAAACTGTTCTGCTAGTTCTAAAAATAACTGCCAATGGCTAGTGGTAACCTTCATTATAAAAAAATTAAAAATAAATGCAGAGACAAAAAACAAAAAGACAATTTTAAGAACACGTGAACATAAAATCAAACAACGTGGTAAAAACACTACGATTTTTTAGGTTAACAACAACGTGGGTTAACACAAATCCAAACGTCAATTTACCCACTATTTTATCCTTTTCCTGCACATTTAAAGATACGCACTCTCTCTCTAATCATCACCTCCGCACGTGCCGCCGTAATCGGTAGGTGGAAGTGGAGAAAGTCGTATAGAAATAAGTGCACAGAATATGAAAAAATCGATTCTACACCACTCCATGGATTTCAACATGTCACAGAATCCCGCTTCAGAACTCGAATCAAGACAACACTTGTCGCCTACTACCTGAGGGACTAACCGAGCAATTCCGAACAAAGCGCGCTGACTGCACAAGACAATGTCTAAAATCAATTAATTTGACAACTGGTAGTAATTTATAACATATGATTACAAAAATAAACAAACCAATTAATAATGGATTTATACTAAATTGTATGTATTATATTAATGTAATTTGGATGAGAATAATATAAAATGAAATGTTACGAATATAGAGACGTTTTAATTAACACAAAATAAGAATATTTTATACGAGGAATGGTTCAAAACTATTAACTAAATTTAATAGTAAATCATACTTAAAAATCAAAACGGAGGTGTAATACTCGAATAATATTATATACGAGGTATGGTTCAAAATTATTAACTAGATTTAATAGTAAATAATACTTAAAAATAAAAACGGAGTGTAACAATACTGCTGTTAACACAAATTTTTAAAATGTCATTTTACACTTTATCATTCGAAGAATTACTTAAATGCGCTTAAATAACATTTACTATGAGAATTCCAGCTTTACAATTTATTCCAGAGTAGGCTATTCCATAGAGAGCACATTCATTTATTAAAGGAATCGCGTACAGCAAAAACAGGTACTTTTCAGACGTAGAAGTTATCGACATTTATTTGATCCTCATTATTAAAACATACTTAGTTGATAAAATAGATAATACCTAATAACATTTTAAAAAATATACTTGCCTTTGTCACATTCTGCTCCTTGTGTTGTTAAATCCACTAATTTTTTTGTACGGCTACGAAACGAATACATATTAACGCCACTTTTCCAGAGTATCAAAAATGTGTAAAAGTTTTAACAGAAATATCAAGGTGAAATACGTCGTTACTCTACAGACTCTACTAAACTTATGGACGCCTAGTGAGCGGTTTGAAATAAACTGAATATGTAATAAAAAAACATCCTGAGATTCCTAAATTCTAGGCGACAATTGCGTAATTCATTATAGACAAACACCGTTGCCAAAAGTAGGGAAGCCGAGTAGGCGACTTTGAGGAAACTGTATTCTAAAAATTTGGCAAACGGCTGAACTAAATCAGAGATCCGGTCGGATGGCGTCCAGCCTATTTTTTGCTGAATTGTTACTCATACCCACTAGAATCATTTTTGATTATTTGTAAGGAAAGGCCACTGGGCTTGCGTATATAGGAAGCCCAGTGGCATCAGATGCTAAGTGAGACGCTATTTTAACATTGGGGGACGCCCAATAGGATTATATATATATATATATATATATATATATATATATATATATATATATATTATTGGGGAATTAAGCAAATAATAAGTTAAAGAAAACTCTTTTTACTTCATCCAAGCTTTCGGAAATTTATTTAATCATTTCCATCACCAGGGTAGACTACAAAATAATGTTGGAAATAGTTACAGTGGACCAAATTAAACTAAAGTTACTACTTACAACAATCTCATTTAACAAATTGTCACACCTGCTTATATAGTAGTGAAACGGCCCAATATTTTGACATCTTACCACCAAATCTCGAGATATACTTAAGAGTTAGTAATTAGAAACCATGTTTGACATGAAAATAGCTTTGCCATTTGGCAAAATATTTGTATTTATATTTTTTCTTTCTTTGTATTAGGTACTTAGTTTGGCCAATAAAAGCTATTATTATGATTTATTTTATATCTTATTTTGTTGAATATAGAATATTTACTGTATAAACTTTTTAATATGTAGCACTCGAATTAATATCTGTTCTAAATGAAATAAAATATTTTTTTCTAAATAAAGATTTTTTAGTGTTATTTTATTTTAAACATTACTCTACATAAATAATTGTGTAATACCCAGGGGCATATCAACAGCGCAATACTAGTATGAAGTAAATTACTCTACTCCTGCGCTATCACTTATATAAGATTTACCTCCACCCGAGCGGCTGGGCGAGATAATATCGAGTTATCGTAGGTTTGGCCCTTGCTGAATCATGGAAGGGTCTTTAGTTAAGGGTAGGGATATTTGAGAGGATCAATAGCTTGTCTTCAGGCTCTGAAAAAAAAAAAGGGTTTTGAGGCTATATAATCACAATATCTCACAAAAGTTGGCTTGCTATATGTTCTACAAAGAATCTGCAGCTTTCCCCTCTGTCGATATCCAGTGCTTATTATCTGTATACTAGGCTCTAATTGGGTTGCCCTATTTGGAGAATGATACACGGAGTTTCTGATATTACAAAAGGTTTATTGAAAGTAAAAAGAAAATGAGGTTTGTCTGGTTAACAAAATGACAGTAAAAATATTTACAAAGTTAGGACAACAAAATTTTATGTAATGAAAAAAATACTGTTTCTGACTCGCTTGCGTTACCTCGTATAAACAAAAAAAAAAGAAACTATATTTATCTTATCTCTATATACACTTTCTGTTGTTAAGACAAACTCCACTAGTACCTCGTATTTTACTCTTTATTTATATTAATATGTATGCATCAAAAGTTTTCTTTTATCTAGATCCACAGTAGGATCTGAGATGGCTTATAGTTGTGTTATTTAAATGATCCTTTCTTTAACTATACAAATATTCGCCTATGCATTCAAGATTTCAATTAGCGGCTTAGGGCCTCCTTTAAATTAAATTAAAAAAAAATTAAGTTAAATGAAGGGTGGCACTGTAATATCTCAACGTTTTTCCAGAAACCCAGCAATGCCCAAAAATATTAAGGTTTAGTAGTAAGGTTAGTAAGTAAGGTTAGTAAAATTTCGATACGCTCACCAAAGAAACTCTTTCTTCTGGCTATGAAGGTCCAACCGGGCTTTTCTGCGCCCACCTCTAGCTCGCTGAGGAGTTCTCCGCTGCTTCTTGTTCGAGCACACAACAAAAGAAAAACAAAATTCCTTAGATATGGATTCGTCTGATCTTAATTTTGTGGCCTAATACAAGCCTGTAAAAATTACGATCCCAAGATCTCTTAGCTCAGACGAATTCGCTTATATCAAAGGGCATTATTTTCTCAAGAAAAGAATCACGAGGTTCGCACTGAACCTGCCCGTTGATCGGGTCGCGAGGTTCACTCTGAAACGTCCGCGAAGTGAATGCCCTTAACTTCTATTTTTTTTCCCCGCTAAAATCCTGTCTATGTTTTTTTTTTACCTCTCCCGGTCCTATTGGCCGAGGAATCTCACGTCATATCAGTCGTGGGTTTATGTTTTGGACCAGTCAGCAATTTTGTAACTATTCGATTTGAGCGAACTTTGATGATTACCTACATTGTTGCAACTGAAGGTATTTTGTCGATTCAGCGGTGTCGTCATATTTTTACAATTGCCAGTCGACTCGGTGTGGAAATTCTTATTTTATTTATTATACGTCTATTTATTACTTTATAAGATTTTTTAATATACTGGGCGATTTTTATTTTTATCCAACTCGGAACTTAATTAATTGAAGAATGATATTCTTGGGTTCTGGCTTCCCTTATTTTTATTTTGAAAATATTACAATTGAAAATAATCTTTAAAACCAGGCGTTTATTAATTTTTTTTATTTCTAACAATAGATTTTGTAACAAATTATTTTGCATCCTTATAACTTCATGCATTTGCTTGCGTTCATCTACGTATACTTGATGTTTTTCGACTTCCATTTCCAACTTCCTTCTCTTTTCTACAAAATCAAACTGCAATTGATCTTCTTGTATTTTAATTTTCCTTTCCTCTAATTTTAAACTATACTCTTCGAGTTTAAATTTCCTTTCTTCCAATTCTAATTCTCTAAGTTTAATCTCATTGTCTGCAGTTCTTTTTTTATTTAAAAAATCTAAGGCATTTCCTTTAACAGGTTTATCAGTCCTTCTTGTTTTTTTTTTGGTACTAAAATATAAATAGGATATTTAGGTTTGTAAAAAGAAAATAAAACATTCGGGGCTATTCAGTACTGAAGGTAATGTTAAAATATAAGGTGATTTAAATATAAATAAAAAATAAATATTTAAAATGTTCCTTCTCGTTAAAGTGTTTCTTGTATCGGTTTAAACAGCTGTTGCTTGAGAAGGTGTTGATGTATTTAATACCTTTATAATATCGGAAAAAAACATCCAGGTCCAATATTTGAGACTTGTCTTGTTTGACCTCCACTTCTGCAGCAATATCATCATCCATGGTTCTTAAAAATGTATTGACATATTATGTTATTTATGTATTCATTCTGTGAAATTATAAAACGGTTACTTACAATAAGCATGGTCTCTTTCAATGACCTCATTATTTTCTTTATTTTCTATTTGAGCAGTCACAGAATACTCCTGGATTGCTTTCTCATCGTCAATGCTACTCGTTAATATTTTTTGTCTATTATACACTTGGGAAAGTTCATACACCTCCTGCAAGAGTACATCAGCATCCGTGTAGGTTTCTTCAATTCCAGATCTACAATACAGGAGAAACATACAGGGCATGAATATCTTGTAAAATAAATAATCTAGTGAGACTTACTTATTTCTATTAGCCTTGTCTTTTCTCAGCCAGTTTAACAGCAAACCATCAAAATGGTTTTTTAATGTTCCCAGTGAAAATGCTTTATTTGTAACATTTACAATATTGTCTTTAATGGTGGTCCATTTCTTTGGGTCCTCAAACGGATTTTGTGCCAGTACCTCCCGTAATAAGACTATTTCGTCGTTTGATGTAAAGCGCAGCCTAACGATTTTGTTCATGTTTATATCAAATGAAATATAAATACAAAAATTAAATCCTAACCTATCTATAAAAACAAAAGCTAAGATTGAATTAAAAACAAATTTACAATTAATTTATCCTATAACTATTCTAATCTATTAAAAATTAAACAAAGAAAAATAATTATACTAAAAACACCGGTGTTCTCGAATTGAGGACCACTACCTGCACAGACCAAATAAGTGCACCGAATTGCGGACCGTACTAAGGATTAGGGATTAAGGTGGTAATGAGGGTTCATTGCGTTAACTAGATTACTGAGAGAGATTTTTGTACCTGGAAATATGACACGAATTGAGGAACAAACTTCTCAATAATTGAAGTATCTTATCACTATACCCATTTATAATATTATTATTTGTCTTCTGATGGATTTGCAAAATTTGAAGAAAAGTACGAATTCAGATAAAAATAGATATTTATTGCACAATTTACAATTTATAATTAATTTTTTAAACATATACATATTATTTACATTTAATACACTTTATGATAATTTGATGCGAATTTTACAAAATCTATTCGTTTTATAGAACCATTTTTATATTCTAACATTTTTGAAGTTAACATATTTAATCTTCGTCTAACAATTTTGTTGTTACATTTAACAGACTCCTTAAGGCTGTTAATACGAATATAAGTATCTGTTTGAAAATTGTTCAAAACATTTACAAATAAATACAATGAAGGGTGCATTGAATAGAAATTTGAATTAAATCTAGAATGAAAGGACTCGCTTGCATTGGTAGAATTTTCTGTAGTTACAACAGCTTCAGCCCAAATTGTTGGTGGAAATAAAGAATTTTCTTCAATATAATTCTTTACTAAATAGTCAGCTAAATTTACCACAGCTTTATGCATATGATCGGGCTGAAATTCAGCCAAATCCAAAGCAAAACATTCTCCAACTTCTTCGGGTTTTAAAAAAGACAATCCAAAAAGATACCTCATCCATTTTCCAGTTGCACTTTTTTCATCTTGGTATTCTTTAGCCAATCCCAAACTCTGTATTTTTCTGTACCAAGCTTGGCCAAGATGAAACCTACATCCAATGATCTTTGTGGTGGGCCATTGCGCAGAAATTGCTTTGTGAATAGCTAGTTCATAATCAGCTACAATAATTTTTGGAACAAATATTAAATTAGCATTACAACACTTTTCTTTAAGAATAACGAAAAGTCTTTCGTATGTTAAACGAAGTTTATTCGGTAATAAACAAAAAGCTACTGGTATATAATGGCCGTTTTCTACGATATGAAGTGTGAACAACTGTAAAAAATGTTTCGTACAATATCGAAATGTTCCATCAAGATACACTTTGTCACTACTACACAAAAATTTTAAATTAGTATAGCACGAAAATACTACAATATTGTTAATATTATCAGTGGCCAAGAGAAATGGTTCATTTTTAATTGTTGTCAAATTTAATGTTGGTAAAATATCGAAAACATCTGATACATTGCTTGGTAAACGTGCTTGGACTTGACGTCTTTTGTAATACATATTATTTCTTATGTATGTAATGTCTTTTCTTGTCAAAGCGTCCATTGTATCACTGTTTTCCCTTAAAACAGAGTGTATGATTTTCGATGGCCGTTCTGTGATATCTTCTACAGCTTTCCGTTTGCTTGCTACACTCAAAATTTGTCTATTTAATTTCTTTATGTCATTTTCATGATTGTGCACTGTTTCTTTTCGAGAAATTATATTATCTGAACCTAGCGTAAATACTTTTGCGTTACATTTACTTACAGTACAAGTCCAAAACTTTTCACCACTTTTAAGAACCTTTTTTTCACGAAACTTATAATCATCCCACACAAGTAACGACTTTCCCTTTTCACTTAAGATCATTTTAATTTCACTCATTTTTACAAGACTGCTCAAAATAAACTAAACACAAAACACTCACTTCAAATATATATTAGAATTTCGAAAGTAAAGTAATAAAATGCTCGTTAACGCAATGAATCATCATTACAACCTTAATCCCTAATCCGCAATTCGGTGCACTTACTATAATTATTTCTCAGAAGCCTGGTCCTCAATTCGTGTCATATTTTCAGGTACAAAAATAAACCCTTCTTAATATTTTCATTTTGGTTCTCAATTCGTGTCTGCCCAAAAACACAGCAAATGCACTAACAAAAATGGAACAAAACAGACGTGAACATAAAATAACAAACGAATAAACAGCCATAAAAACTCTGACAAGAAAAAAGACAAATGGCAAATAGCGACAAATTCGAAAACTCGGTGTTTGTCTGTTCTGTATCCACAGGACATTTACTTTGGTGCCGAACTATTCACGATAAATCTCGAACATTCCCGATAAAAATACAATATTTTGGCACTATCCTTATTCGACATAAAATACTGTAATACAGTATTCAAATTTAGCACTATTTTTCTTCGTTCTCAAGTACGCATGCGTAACTGTCACAATAAGGTTAGTGCTATTCTTTTGAGACGTGGCAATAACTCTCTGTTGTTATAAATTTTTTAGATTGAGGAACATGCGTATGCTTCTTGGTTAATAGCTATTGGAAAAGATCCATTAAAAATTATAAGTGCAAATAACGCTTTGTTCCTCCCATTTTCACAAAGATGATTTAATCGTTTCAAAACGAAGACACAATAAAAAATAATGCAAGACCTTCCAAAAATCTGCCTAAAATTGGAGATATTTTTATAACATTAGTGTTATGAGGCAAATATACATAAAATTATCGATTTGTTCCTTTTTATAATTTTTAACAAAGTGACAAAAAAATTGTTAATTATCCTTATTACTTTTAGAAATGTACAACCTTCAACTTCAACGACTATTATTAATTCAGAATCTAACAAGGAATTAGAAGTTGCCAGTTGGTTATTTTTTTATTAAGGGTTTAGATGGTAATGAAAGAGGAAATGTGGTGTTGTAGGCTCTTCTAAAATTGCATGAATATGGAGTTATCATCACCTCATTATCATTTGATGGACTTACAATGATGACAACATTAGATGTAAACCTATACAACTTGGATATTGAAACTGCAACTCCATATTTCTTACATTCGCCACAGATAAAAGTAAAATTTTTATAATTTTAGACGCATGTCACATACTTAAGTTGGCTTGGATTAATTGGGATAATCTTACTAATATTGTCGAAACTAATGTCAAAATTATTGATTTTAATTATATAAAGTTGTTGCATTATATTTAACAAACAGAATGTTTAAATTTAGTTAACAAATTAAGAGTGGCCCATATGTATTGGAGATAGACATAAAGGTTTGTTCACTTGAAACGATTTTCGAAATTTTATTGGAACTCTTTTAGTTCACTGTAAAATTCCTCGTTTTAATAAAATAAAATATAATAATAACTATTTAAGTATATTATTTTATTTAAGTCAATTTAGACGTACAAATATTAAGTAATTGTATAAGGACATCTCATAAACTGTTCGATTTACTATATTCCCAAAATCCCAATTGGAATAGCATTTGTCATAAAAAACGGAGACTATGAATGCCTGAAATGAAATCTGCAATAAAATATATAAAGAAACTTAAAACCTTAGACAGTAGTTATGTTATTCAGACACCGAAGAAGAATACTCTGGTTTTCTAGACTTATTTTATCAAGTTTGTAATAGGTTTATATGAGAAATATGTAAATTGTAAACTTAGTACAGATCACTTGGAGAGCTATTTTTCTGCAGTATAAGGTATTAGTTTAATTGTGTGAATGTAATTACATTTTATTTCTAGGACTAGGTATGGATGGAACAATAATCCTTTATCTATAAAATTTTTCCATTCATATAGACTACGATTACATCTGTACCATGACATTAAGAATCGTCATGGGTATTCTTCAGGATCCCATCAACATTTTACAAACCACACTAAAAAGTATAATAACAGTACCTATAGTTTATTACTACTTTCTTACTAAATATAACCAAGAGAAACTTCAAAAGATTCAAAATTTTTGTATAATATTTACTTGTAATATTCCTTATAGAAACCATGTTTCTCAATGCATTCGCAGGTTAAATGAATATAAAATTCAGGAAAGAGTAAAATATTTATTTTTAATTTTTTTTTGTATAACATTTTAATGTTTAAAATTCCACAATATTTACATAATATGTTACTGAGAAGATCAACTTTACACAATGTAAATTTAAGAGTCAACACTTTTACAACCCCAATGCATAGAACATTCCAGGGTTGTTTTAGTTACGAAGTACCATTATTGTTGAATTCAGAACTTAATAATTTAAATTTAAATTTTAACAATTTTGTTAAGACTATTAGGCAAGTTATTATTTCAAAGCAGTGATTTAATTTAAAATAATTATTTTGTGAACATTTTTTCTGTTATAATGAGGATGAATTGAAAAATGGCTTAGCCGAATTAATTCTTTTATTGAGACATTAATGTATTTATAGTTGCTCAATAAACATTATTTATTTAAATATAGTGATATTCACATTGTCAAAAAATGTACAGTATGTTAAGCCGACGCATCAGGCAAAATAAAGATAATATTCTTAATTGTTTTTGGATATAAGAGCGATAAAGATAGTAATTGATTTGACCACACTCTTACGATTGCTAGCATGGGTAATTGCGGTCCAAACTCATTCGTATTATTTTATTTCTCTCTATTCAATGGCATTGTGTTCTATACCGTTTTCCTGGAGTCAGGATGGAAAAGTTAAATGATTGTATGTTAGAAAATAATTATACAGACAATGTAAATAATTATACAATGTAATTAAGTTGTTAGATATTTCAGAAAACATTGTTTATGTTGCAAAAAAAATTTGATAAAATGTTTTACTGGTCAGGATTCACTATCTAACGCAACTGCTAATGAAAATTATTTTTTAGCAAAAAATGGGGTAATTTAACAGTTTCGGCTGTAAAAGTACTAGTGTATCTTTAAAAAAATATTTTTAATCACAGATAATCA